TGTTTATATAGATATAAAATCGATATTTTTTTGACAATAGCCTACTATGATTGGAACCAAAAATGCTTTGAATTGCATTTTAAAACATATATTGGCATTATAAATGATAAAGAATGTTTATATAGATATTAAATCGATATTTTTTTGAAAAAAACCTACTATGATTGGAACCAAAAATGCTTTGAATTGCATTTTAAAACATATATTGGCATTATAAATGATAAAGAATGTTTATATAGATATAAATTCAATATTTTTTTGAGAATAGCCTCCTATGATTGGAACCAAAAATGCTTTGAATTGCATTTTAAAACTGTTGAAATGATGAATATAAAGCAAAAGAAATTTAACGGACATTTCATTTTCAAAAAGAATGAAAGAGACAGAAAAGGGTGTGAAAGAGAAAGGATGAAAGGGGCAATTTTTGGCGGGAAAATTTCCCTATAAAAGGAGCGAATTATTGCAGGGAAATTCATTCTTGTTTTGGCAATCGAGCTGAAAACATCTGAAGGAAAGGGTTAAAGATATAAGGATAAAGGAAAAGGGAATGAAAAGGATAAAAGAACAAAAGATAAAGATATAAGGGTAAAGGAAAAAGGAGTAAAAAAGGATTAAAGAATCAAAGGTGAATAAAGGACCTATTACCACGGAGATCACGACGGTAAAAGAAGTATCGGACGTAGAGTGGTAGCCATCTATGAAGGAGCGACCCCTAAAGGCTGTGAAGACTCAGGGCAGGCAATCAAGACTGAGGTGGAAGAACGAGAGATTGTACTGCTGACGCATCTCGGAGATAGCGAGAACGTGCATAAGGCTGAGAGAGAAGCACACAGGAGTCTAACAGCATAAAGACTAATAAGGGCTTTCCACCCTTGTTCAAGATCTCAACATTTAAGGAGGAGCTGGCAGTGTGCTCAACTCCGAAGGTTATGAAGGAAGATTCGTGGGAGGCGATAAAAGCAGTGATAGGGGAACGCGAAGTGGCATTACTTGCACATCTTCGTAACAGTTCAAACGTGCAAAAGGTAGAGAGAGAGGTTTTCCGGAGACGAGCTGCAAGACGACTCAACCCGTATCATAAATCTCAACAAAAACATATATAGGCATTATAAATGATTAAGAATGTTTATATAGATATAAAATCGATATTTTTTTGAAAATAGCCTACTGTGATCGAAACCAAAAATGCTTCAAATTGCATTTTAAAACATATCTAGGTCTTATAAATGATAAAGAATGCTAATATAGATATTAAATCGATATTTTTTTGAAAATAGCCTACTATGATTGAAACCAAAAATGCTTTAAATTACATTTTAAAATAAAACATATCTAGGTCTTATAAATGATAAAGAATGTTTATATAGATATAAAATCGATATTTTTTTGAAAATAGCCTACTATGATTGAAACCAAAAATGTTTTGAATTGCATCTTAAAACATATATTGGCATTATAAATGATAAAAAATGTTTATATAGATATAAAATCGATATTTTTTTGAAAATAGCCTACTATGATTGGAACCAAAAATGCTTTGAATTGCATCTTAAAACATATATTGGCATTATAAATGATAAAGAATGTTTATATAGATATAAAATCGATATTTTTTTGACAATAGCCTACTATGATTGGAACCAAAAATGCTTTGAATTGCATTTTAAAACATATATTGGCATTATAAATGATTAAGAATGTTTATATAGATATTAAATCGATATTTTTTTGAAAATAGCCTACTATGATTGAAACCAAAAATGCTTTAAATTACATTTTAAAACATATCTAGGTATTATAAATGATAAAGAATGTTTATATAGGTATTAAATCGATATTTTTTTCAAAATAGCCTACTGTGATTTAAACCAAAAATGCTTTGAATTGCATCTTAAAACATATATTGGCATTATAAATGATAAAGAATGTTTATATAGATATAAAATCGATATTTTTTTGAAAATAGCCTACTATGATTGAAACCAAAAATGCTTTAAATAACATTTTAAAATAAAACATATCTAGGTCTTATAAATGATAAAGAATGTTTATATAGATATAAATTCAATATTTTTTTGAAAATAGCCTACTATGATTGGAACCAAAAATGCTTTGAATTGCATTTTAAAACATATATAGCATATATAGGCATTATAAATGATTAAGAATGTTTATATAGATATTAAATCGATATTTTTTTGAAAATAGCCTACCATGATTGAAACCAAAAATGCTTTAAATTACATTTTAAAATAAAACATATCTAGGTCTTATAAATGATAAAGAATGTTTATATAGATATAAATTCAATATTTTTTTGAAAATAGCCTACTATGATTGGAACCAAAAATGCTTTGAATTGCATCTTAAAACATATATTGGCATTATAAATGATAAAGAATGTTTATATAGATATAAAATCGATATTTTTTTGAAAATAGCCTACTATGATTGGAACCAAAAATGCTTTGAATTGCATTTTAAAACATATCTAGGTATTTAAAATGATAAAGAATGTTTATATAGATATAAATTCAATATTTTTTTGAAAATAGCCTACTATGATTGGAACCAAAAATGCTTTGAATTGCATCTTAAAACATATATTGGCATTATAAATGATTAAGAATGTTTATATAGATATTAAATCGATATTTTTTTGAAAATAGCCTACTATGATTGGAACCAAAAATGCTTTGAATTGCATCTTAAAACATATATTGGCATTATAAATGATAAAGAATGTTTATATAGATATAAAATCGATATTTTTTTAAAAATAGCCTACTATGATTGAAACCAAAAATGCTTTGAATTGCATTTTAAAACATATATTGGCATTATAAATGATAAAGAATGTTTATATAGATATAAATTCAATATTTTTTTTGAAAATAACCTACTGTGATCGAAACCAAAAATGCTTCAAATTGCATTTTAAAACATATATTGGCATTATAAATTATAAAGAATGTTTATATAGATATAAAATCGATATTTTTTTGAAAATAGCCTACTATGATTGGAACCAAAAATGCTTTGAATTGCATTTTAAAACATATATTGGCATTATAAATGATAAAGAATGTTTATATAGATATAAATTCAATATTTTTTTGAGAATAGCCTACTATGATCGAAACCAAATATGCTTTAAATTGCATTTTAAAACATATCTAGGTATTATAAATGATAAAGAATGCTATTATAGACATATAATCGATATTTTTTGAAAATAGCCTCCTATGATCGAAACCAAAATTGATTTAAATTGCATTTTAAAACATATCCAGGTATTTTAAATGATGAAGAATGTTTATAAAGATATAAAATCGATATTTTTTTTGAAAATAGCCTACTATGATTGGAACCAAAAATGCTTTGAATTGCATTTTAAAACATATCCAGGTATTTTAAATGATGAAGAATGTTTTTAAAGATATAAAATCGATATTTTTTTTAAAATAGCCTACTGTGATCGAAACCAAAAATGCTTTAAATTGCATTTTAAAACATATCTAGGTATTATAAATGATAAAGAATGCTAATATAGACATAACATCGATACTTTTTGAAAATAGCCTACTATGATCAAAACCAAAATTGATTTAAATTGCATTTTAAAACATATCCAGGTATTTTAAATGATAAAGAATGCTAATATAGACATAAAATCAATATTTTTTTGAAAATAGCCTACTGTGATCGAAACCAAAATTGATTTAAATTGCATTTTAAAACATATCTAGGTATTTTAAATAATGAAGAATGTTTATAAAGATATAAAATCGATATTTTTTTTGAAAATAGCCTACTATGATCGAAACCAAATATGCTTTAAATTGCATTTTAAAACATATCTAGGTATTATAAATGACAAAGAATGTTTATATAAAATCGATATTTTTTTGAAAACAGCCTACTATGATCGAAACCAAATATGCTTTAAATTGCATTATAAAACATATCTAGGTATTATAAACGATAAAGAATGCTAATATAGATATAAAATCGATATTTTTTTTGAAAATAGCCTACTATGATCGAAACCAAATTTGCTTTAAATTGCATTTTAAAACATATGTAGGTATTATAAATGATAAAGAGTGCTAATATAAATTAGTGATCGAAATGTCACCAAAAAACTCGTGAGAAAAATTTAATCAGAGAAAACTTGATTTGAAATCTCGCGAGTTTTCAAATCTCGTGAGATTTTTTTTCTCACTTCTCAATCTCAATTGAGATTTTTAATGGAAGTTTTTCTGATATTGACTGTGTTCCTGTTTTTACATGTATATCAGTTTGCAAATGCAAAGCGCCTAAATTTCCGCCCTACTAGACCTTTGTAGCTTGTAATTGATTTCTATTAATATACATATCAATATGATTGATTTTGAGTTGCGAGCTGTAGGTTGGGTGACGAATTTCTAACCATTTTTGATTTCGTAATGAATATAGGGAGGATTAAAATAAATCCATCGGATTAAAATTTGAAATAGTTATATCTATGTAGGTGTTGATGAAAGTGGGGCATGTTTAGTAGGACTAGCACCAAAAATTATGATTTTGGTATCAATCGATTCCTAAGAAGATGTAAAACATTTAAACTGCCAGCTATTTTTTGATTTAAGGCTTTAAAAAAAAGTTAAAGCAAATGTAGTGTTTGCATGGAGATTTAGTGAAAATCTTCCATCAAGGACTACGGTCTCAAAAAAAAGTTCATCCATAATTTCCGCCCTACTAGACGACAAGGGCTAAATTTTGACATACAAATCATTACTTTTGGATAATACGGTGGACCTGTAGGTTGGGTGACACAATTTGACCGACATAAATAAACACCTTCCGTGTTCCACGCGGAAGCTAAAAGAAGATTTTAATCTGTTTTAAAAAGTGTAAGACAAGTTGAATTTTATTACTGAATAATTTAATATTTCAAGTCCGAGAAGAATTATAACTCATTTTTGATGAATTCAACTCATTTATGGAATTGCCAACGTGTTTCAATCATGAACTATATTCTTTTTAAATACAAAAATTAAGTTTGCATATAAAAAATGAGAATAAAATCTAATTTTGTTCACTATTTTTCAAACTTTAAAAAATATTACACTGATCTCCAAAACGCCCACAGACAAAATTTTCGGGTAATATGAAGCACATCAGGTAATATGAATAAAAATACACGTGTGATTGTACGTGGTCAATAAAAACACACGTGTGATTTTATCCACCATTTGGAAATATATGCGGTGTTTATGAAATACACTTTTTTCCAGAAACTCCACATACATTTTCAAGTGGTGGTTTTGGAAACCCGTGATTTTTGTTTTGTGGGTTCTTCGGGGAATTTTGCGTGGGGATTCTGGTCTGTGGGTGATTTAAAGCTGCATCGTAATTCATTTATTAGGACCCATCATCAATGCTATGGTCTGCTTTCTATAATTATTGAAATGTTCCAAATATTGTTGGACTGTATCAATCGGTTGGTATGTATCGTTTGATTTTTGATAAGGAACTGGATGATGAGGATTTGGGACAGAATTCGTAAAGTAGACTGGAATAGTTGTTGGAGAGTACTGACCCAGAAATCCTTGTAGAAATTCACGAATTAATTCCCAGCAAATAATTGGAATTAAGCAAGGTCGATAATCAACTTCTATCAGTAATCCTTTAAATGTTTGACTTTGACTCATCGTCACACTTCCAAGTTTCACAAGAAAATCACCCAGCTCAAATCGTGGACCTTTTGACTCAATCTTTAAAATACGGAAACATGTTTAGGATAGATTAACATTTCAGGATAATGAAATTATACCTTTAATTGCTTCCTTGATGCATAAATTGGATTCACTTTCAGCATTAGTAGATCAAAAATCAAATCAGTTATAAGTGGAATTTGCTTCTGTCCATTATCTAAAATTGAGAATACACTGGCAGGATATTCAGAGTTGTGCATTACATGGATTTTTGTTTTGTTAAATGCTGCAAAATAACATGAATATTCAAAAATCATATAATATTGTATAAATACAAACTTACAGCTCTCAAATACATCTCCGTCTACAAGAAAATGTCCAGTTTGTGTAGCTTGCATTGCCAACAATCGTTTTGATAGCTCTTCAACAACTTCAGGCCCGGTTTTCTTATTATCCAATGGATATGGTACCAATCTATAAGTACTTTCAATCTTCAGTGACTAATTATAAATTAAAGTACATTTTTTTTTACATTGTAACTCCCATTTCTATTCAGTACAGCAGTAAATTAAATAAATAATTATTCTTCCTCTTTATGAAATGTTTATCAACAGAAAAAGGGGAACATTAGCTTTGTGAAAAAGTGTGATTTTTCTACAATTTTACCAGCAAAAGAAGGGTCGTTTACTTTTAAGTCTGTCAAGAAACAAGATTTTTAATTCTTAACTCACCCCTCTCCCCCCACCCCCTTTTTTCCCTAAAGTAAAACGCTGTAAAATGTGGTAAAATTTAATAAATTTTTTTTCAAAGTGATTTTTCCCCTACAGCAAACTTTTCACACCCCTGGTATTCAAATTTTAATCGTCTGTTAAACCAACGGGGAGGAATGTTCTTTAGCTTAGTACCTGTTCATTTAATATAAGTTAAATTAACTAGAAACCAAAATTCAAGCCAAATTCAAAGGAATGAATATATTTAAATATCAAGTATATACTCAAACCACTGAATAAATGTAGTAAAAATAACGCTTTCCAAAATTCTGATAAAAATGACGCGAGATTTTGCAAGTAACAAGAAGTGCTGATTTTATATTTTCAAAAAAAAGGCTCAATAGTTAATTAATTTACGTGTTATTCAAATCAAAACATGAAGAAAGCATCAAAACAAAATCAAATTAAAAATTTAAGTGAAGAAAAAGGCAATGAAAACGATACTACAACAAAAATAGAAGTTGATCCAGAAATTGTAATCAAAATATTAGAATCATCAAAAGATGAGAATCTTTTGGTTGAACTACCTGTTGAGGATCACAATAGTTTGACTGAGTGTGAAAGTATAAAACCAGAAGAATTTGTCGAGGAGGCTCAGTTGAAAACATTGGTAATCCAGAAAAAGAAAGAAATGGATTCAGAGGAGTTTGTCCAGAATGCAGAACTTAAAAGAATTAAAGCAGATCAATCTGATATAAAACGTAGAAGATCATTAAGGAATGAAACAGCAGCGTCAATTAAGAAGAAACCTCCAAAATATGAGGAAATTTTCAATTGCTATAAACGTAAAGAATACAAGGAGTGCATCATATATATTGATTTAGTTGCTGAATCAGCAAAAGACTGGATTGAGTATCAAATTCTCAAAGCAGCATGTCTAATTCATTTAGGAATCAAACTTACAGAAGCTCACAAAATTTTAGACGATATACTCAAAATTAATAACAAAAATTCTTTTTCGTTTTATGCTAAAGGCCTAGCATACTATCGAGAAGAGCAATGGCTGGACAGCATTGAATATTTTGAAAAAGCAATTGCATTAGACAAAAGTTCAATGCAACGAGCTGAAGTAATGCTTAAACTAGCCAAAGAAGAATTAGAGAAAATGAGTAAAGACGATGTGTGTCTATTATCAAATGAAATTAAGACAGAACCAATAGAGGAGCAAGATGATCCAGATTTCTATGAATATAGTCAATCAGACATGAATGACCCGATACCCAATGTTGACAAAAAGAATAGATTTAAATGTGAAATATGTAATAAGTGTTTCTGTAAGAAATTTAATCTTGATCGACATAATAAAATCATGCACAATCGAGAAACACCTTTTATCCCTCCTCTTCCGCGAAATTATAACAGTCGCCGATCAGCACCTGAACCACTAATGATTAAAGTTGAGGAAAAATCATTGTCTCCTATAAGTCCTGTTGTCTCAAAATCATCACAATTCAAAATCAAGCTGGGGAAGAAAAAAATTAAAAGAACGCAGTCAATGTCAGAGATAACGGATAGAGTCAAAAGTGAAATGGGCCGATGTAAAATATGCAAGAAATTGTATCGTAAAGGAAGCTTAGCAAGACACGAAATCATTCATTCTGGTAATTCTTTTTTGCTATTATATCTTTAAAAGTAAGTTTTAAAAAGAATTCTTAACATTTTTCAGGTGTTAAACAATTTACATGCGAGGACTGTCCAATGGCATTTTATCAAAAATCTGATTTACAACGACACATCGTGAGTAGAGATAAAATAACATTAAAAACTTTATATTAATATTTAAAATCATTAAATTACAGACCATTCATTCCAATGTCTTTGACTATGAATGTGAATTATGCGAGAAAAAGTTCCGAATCAAAAAGAATCTACAGGTACACAATAAGCGTCACCACTCAAAGTAGTTGACAAGAAAGCGGAAATTGTGGAATTAGAAAGATAAATTAAATGTTTTTTTGTACAACAATCATCAATAGTAAACTCTAATGATAGCATTTTAGTCACGTGACATTTGTTAAGTTGTATTGTCAATATCATTATTTTGATAATTACTGTCATTAATGAATGAAATCTTTGAATAAAATATAAATTGAACAGATCTCAAGCATTTCACTTTCATCACAGATTCACGTTTCTCATTCGATTTCTTTTACAATATGCGTGCATGCAGACAAAATAAAGAAAATATCAAAGGCAAAATGACTGAGATAATCATTGAATTAAAAGATCTTTGATTTTTACATGTCTCCCTTTTTATTGAAAGAGTAAAAACCGATCGCAAAATGAAAAGAAAAACAAAACGAAGCATGTATCACAACAATATCTTTTTTGCCGTGCAGACAGAGACTACTAAATTCTCAATGATTGATGAAACAAATAATGTGTGATTTATCATGAAAAGAAAAAGTAACTCGCACTGCCGTGTGTTTCTCGTATTTAAATATATTCAAATGGTACTGTATTATTGTTGCCAATGCGTCTCATTCGAGAGATATTGATGTATGAAATGTAGGTCAGTGCTGGTTCATAATTTATCATACGTAAGATTGGCTAGAAGATTCTGTTTAATGCTTTCTCCGTATATCGTATATATTATTTGAATTAAGATCTTTCTCTATCACTCTCCACTAACATCATAATGGAATTAAATTGAATGTTTGAATGCTGAATGTTATGTTGAAATGCTTTTGAATGTTACATAGAGGAATTTTAATTTGATATTATGCAATGCAATTAAACAGTTTAACTTGGATTTATTTCAGGTTAGGCACGTCATATCTTTGACACAGCAACATTTCATGCAAATCATTGAATTTATCGACATTCAACGACCAAAAAAGATTTGAAAATAATGTAATGTAATAAATTATGCAAACAACTTCATGTAGTAAAATTTGAGAGCACGTTTTTGTGAAATATTTGAGAAATTTGTGAAAAGGCATTTAATAAGCAAGTAATAAGCATAAAAAGTAGCATATATGCTTGAGAAAGGTATTAGTAATAAAAGAATATTCGAGGATTTATCATAAATGGGCAATTTCACGGATGAGTTGAGTTTCGAAAAAAATAAATTTTTGATTCATGTTCTTTAAAAATTTGATTGCTTCAAAAATAAACTTTAACTAAGCTTACACTTTTTAAAACGAGTTAAAAATCTTCATTGACTATTAAACTTTTAAAAACGAGGTTCTAATCAAAGAAATTATTGTTAATTAAAGTAAAAATTGGTTTTTTGAAAATTATTTTCTCACGGATTTGGCTTAAGCGTTGGTATATTACATTAATTGCATTATAATTATTCATTTTTCTGCCTATTGAGTGTCTTTCAAGTCAATTTAAGTATGCAGAATCAAAGAAGAGGATAGAAAGAACGGAATGACAACAATTAATAGTTGTCTAGAATAAATAAATTTCTGTTTTCATATTCAGAATACAACATTGTGTAATATACCAACGCTGACAAAAATGCAAATATTTCATTAATTAAGTCATGACAAGATGCGTAAGTTAGATAGAATGTAAGAGCTCGGCGTTTTACATAAGTTTGTGAAAAAAATTGCAGCTGCAAAATTCTCTAATTAAGAGAAAATTCGATTCAAAGATGAATATTTTGGAAAAATCAATCCGTGAAATTGCCCAAAACGTAGAATTAGAAATAAAAACCAACATTAATTTTTGATGTTCAGAAAATCGTAACTTACGAGGCTCTTAAAACGTTTTTAAGCCTAATTAATTAACGATTCACGTCCAAAGACAAATAATGAGTAAGCCATTGCCAAAGAAGCTAAAAGGAGATTTTGAGAATAATAGCTCTGAGCTTAGTAATCCTCAAGAAGAGCCATTGACTATTGGTCGTGGACGAGGAAGAGGTGAAAGTTCAACTGATAGTTCGAGTACATCAGGAAGTCGTCGAAAGATTAAGGAAACAGAATCTGAGAAATCATCAATCCCGAGCGAGTTGCGTAAGGATGGAAGAGAACAGTGGCTTGCATCAAATAAGCCAATTTATACAACTCGTCCAGAACATATAACATGCAAGAAGACTGATGGTGGACAAAATGAGAACGAACTTTATGCTAATTACTTCCGTATTGGTATACCGCAAAATTTCGAATTTGCACAATATCGAGTGGATTTTTCTCCTGATATTGATATGATTAAGTTACGTCGTTATCTTGTTGCAAAATGTTCTAACAAGATTCGAGGATATGTTTATGATGGTGGAAATTTAGTATATTTAACAAGAAGATTGCCACAAGATTCGATTGTGATTCCGATAACGACAGAACAACAAAATCAATATGATGTAAAGTTCAAGTTTACAAATGTCACTATTAAGAGTACGGATTCAACTGCTATGATGGTGTTGAACTGCATTTTACGAAATGCAATGCGGGGTTTAAACTTGAAGTTAATTCAGCGAAATTTGTACGATGAGCCAGCAAAGGTAAATTTTTAACAAATTAAGCATAAATTTACTATTGATTAACAAATTTTTCTCTGATGTATAAAGATTTTGATCAACGAATACCGTTTGGAACTATGGCCAGGATATGAAACATCGATTAGACAACACGAAAGGGATATTCTTGTGTGCTGTGAAATTTCTCACAAGGTCATGCGTTTCGATACTGTTTACAGTATTCTCCAATCAAAGGAACATGATCGTGTTCCAGAAATAAGAACAGCATTTAGCAAAGAAATTATTGGAACTGTTGTGTTGACACGATACAATAATCGTACTTATAGAATTGATGATGTTCGATTTGATTTGAATCCAAAGAGCACATTTAAAGCCGGAGATAAGGAAATATCATTTATCGAGTACTATAAGACCCGATATAACCTTATTATTAATGATCCCAAACAGCCTTTATTAGTTTCTAATCCTAAAGTAGGTCACAATTTTAAATTGAACTTGGATAATTTTAATGTCATAAAAATTTCAATATTTAGGCGCGAGACATTCGAGATGGACGAAATGAGCCAGTTTTGTTGATACCAGAATTGTGTTTTACAACAGGTTTGACGGATTCAATGCGTAGTGACTTTAATGTTATGAAACGTTTGGGAGAGTAAGTATAACCATTTTTTAACTTTTTATTTGATTTTTTTTTTTAAATTAACAAAACAATTTCTTAGATATACTCGTATGGATCCGACAAAGCGTGTTGAGCGTTTGGAAGAATTCAGTCGACGTATGAACCAAACTGAAGGATGCTTCCAAAAACTGGAATCATTTGGAGTCAATTTAGATCGTCAACTGTTACGTGTATCTGGACGTATTTTAAAGCAAGAACAGATCTTATTTGGACAAGGACGTAGTAATCAAAATGATTTTAAAGCTGATTGGACACAAGGAATTCGTAATCCTATGTACACAAATGTTGCATTACAACGTTGGGGCATCATTTATCCATCAAGATCTGAACGTGACTTTAACGAGTTTATGAAAATATTTGAAGAAGTCGCACGTGGACAAAATTTTGAAATGGGAGCTCCGAAATACAGTGTTATTAACGACGATCGTCCACGTACTTATGCAGATGCTCTTGAATCATTTTGTGCTCGAGATCCGAAATTTGTGATGGTTATTCTCCCAAACAATAATGCAGAAAGATACAAAATTGTCAAGACGATTACGTATGTTAATCGTGGAATTCCATCTCAAGTTATTGTCCAACGAACAATTCAGCCAAAGAAAGGCAGTATGGCTGGTGTGAAATCAATTGCGACAAAAATTTTGATTCAGGTTTGAAATCATTCATTAATTAAAAAATCAGACATATACCAAATATACTTTAATTTTTAGATTAATGCAAAACTTGGTGGTGTTCCATGGATGATAAATATCCCATTAAGTGGACTCATGACAATCGGATTTGATGTTTCGCACGACACAAATGATAAGTCGAAATCATATGGAGCATTTGTGGCTTCAATGGATTTAAAGCTCAAAGTCAGTTTCTTCAGTACTGTCTCAGAACATCGAAACGGAGAAGAATGTTCTAATAATATCGGTGTCCACATGCAAAAAGCATTAATGGCTTGGCGCGAAGAAAACGGATCATTTCCGGAACGTATTCTATTCTATCGTGATGGTAAATTTAATAAAAATCAATATTGTGCAAATTATTTATTTTCACAAAATTTAATTCTATCATTGTTTAGGTGTTGGCGATGGACAAATTCAATATGTACACGAAATCGAAGTACGAAAGATCAAAGATGTTCTCAGAGGCTGTTATGGAGATAAATTTCCGAAATTCGCATTTGTCGTTGTTTCAAAGCGAATTAACACTCGAATATTTAACAAAACTGGAGGTCGTCGTTATGAAAATCCAGTCTCTGGAACTGTGGTTGATGATGATGTCACTTTACCCGAAAGATACGACTTCTTTTTAATAAGTCAATCCGTACGTCAAGGAACGGTTTCTCCAACAAGCTACAATATCATTGATGACTCTTTCGGTTTGCCACCAGAACGCATGCAAATGCTCACCTACAAAATGTGTCACTTGTATTACAATTGGTCTGGCACAACAAGGTATGAATTTCTTTAAAATTTCTAATTGCTTCATTTCATTAAAATCTTATTTTGCCTTGTAGAGTTCCTGCAGTTGTTCAGTATGCTCATAAGCTATCAGTTCTTGTTGGCCAATTTCTGCACATCACACCGAACTTAAATTTGGACAAGTCTCTCTACTACTTGTAGTTCCGTTTTCACCTTATTTTTCTTTTTTTACAATTCAGAAGATGAAAATCTTTTTCGACATTGCTATTAACATATCCATAGAAGGACTTTCAACTGATTAAATTTATTTATATATAAGAACATGCATTTAACTGAATTAACTTAAAATGTCATGTGCCTTATTTTTGGCTAGTTTTTACATATAAATATTGTAAAATATGAAAATTGCTTCTACTGAAATAAAGAATAACTTTTTACCGTCAACAAAACAACGTATGCTATCATGAAAATCGAATAGACTTGAACTGAGTCTTTTCTTCTCAAACCAGAGCTCGAAGTCGAGTCATACTAAATCAATGAAAATCTCGAGCTCTGCTGAAAACTAAAATGACAAGTAAATCAAGAACGGCATATTTATCTACATAAATGTTTTATTAATCTTTAAAGAGCATTGATAACATGAATAGTTTTATGATGTTCAATTAGCTTTATATGCCACAGATAAAGTTTTGTCTCTGAATCCATGACTATATAGCTCATACTTTTAAACTAGTTTATGTAAAAATTAAGCTTTTTCATTCTATTGGATTCTATTTAATTCAGACGCTTTAAATATCTTAAAAATGATATTTTCATCAACTGTTGAAAAATTCAGAATGCTATATGAAGAAGGATAAACATAATTTTTTTAGCAAAGCTTGATCTTTTCATTTATAAATAGTTTAAATTTGGCAAACTTACTCAGATTTCGGTTGCATTTTTAAGACATAACAAGCAGTATTCTGTTGATTTAGTAGTTTTATACTGGGGATCCTCGATTTGAGTAGTTGTTTTGTTCCAAAAAATTTCTACTCAAATCGAATCTATTCAAATTGAGGCAAAGAATCAATACAAAATTACATGTTTTGTTTCAGAGTCCAAAAAATATATCAAAACAATGAAAATTTTGATCATTTTTTGCACATTTTACCTCGTTGCTTAACTTTTCCCATGTGTTTTAGATAACTTAATTTATTTTAAGGCATATTCATATTTTTTTTAAACAGAAATTCACAAAAAATATGTTTTTGAAACAAAACAAAAATATGAGAACCTTGCAAATGTTAATTCACTGAACAATTTGTAAGGTTTTTGAATTTGAACTTTTAATTTTATAGCGATTTTTTAAATTTTTACTTTAATTTTGTAACTTTAGTATTGATTTTTCTATCAATATGATAAGTTCACGCTTATTGCAGTAAAATTTATGTTTTAAAAATATTTTCTGAAATGTTTTTATCAAAAATATTTGTTTTGTAAACAATTCAAATCGAAGAAAATAGGAAGAAATCTACTCAAATCGAATATTTTGGTGGGTAAAAATTTTTCTGTTCAAATCGAATCTACTCAAATAGAATCTACTCAAATCGAGGACCCCCAGTAATGTAAAGCTAAGTTTACCTTAACTATCAACAATTAGCAAATGTCCAAATAGCAAATTAAAGGAGAAAAAATCTAGAGTTAGATTCATGTTCACACAAAATTTTCAATTTTTGTCAATATCTTTAATCTGGCATTTAAAAGAGTTTAAATCTGAATCTAAATCAACTTAGCGAAGATAGAAAATGGATTCTCTATACTTTGAAAATAGGGGGGTTTGAAAAATTGTAACAAAGGGGGGGGGGGGGGGGGGGGGGTCAAGAAGTATGTAACGTTCTAATTGTCGTCTGTCTTTTAAAAAAAGGTCCAAGAAAAAAATTTGTTTGCAAATTCACACCAAAAACATTTTTTTAAATTTTCCACCTTTTTAATGATTTATGAATGTCTAGATCTCTTTTGATAGCTAAGCAATACATAGTTTTTGTTATATAAAGTAACAAATCAATAGATTAACAACAAATTAAAAGATCAATTAAATCAATCATAAGTTTAAAAGTAAATCTTTCTAAATCTGTCATTCATATGATGTTTAATATGATCCCATCATTGTGATATTTACATTCAAAGTTGATTGAATTTTCCAAAATTCGATCGGGCATAATATTTTTGAATTTTCTTCAAAAAAAAAATTTTTTTTGCTTTATATCACAATCCAATAATTCATGAGAATACTAAAGTATCAATCAAAACATGACCTATTAAGCTGTACAGTATTTTGATGTTTAAGAAGAAAAATACAAAAGAACTTTAACCGTCTTTTTAGTATAAAAAATTATCAAAAAAGAATAATAAATTATGAACGTTCAGGGGGGGGGGGGGGTTGTAAGTTGTAACATATTGTAACAAGGGGGGAGGTGGGGTGAAAAAAGTCGTTTTTTTGCGTAACGTTATAAGTGAACGGCCCCTTATTAGTATGCTATTTTCAATAGAAATGGATTAAAATGCATTTTCGAAAATATTACTAACACTAGTAAGCACACGAATAATTTGACGAAAGAAGGAGCAAGTAACTTTTCGGTCATTTTATTTTGAACTCTCGAAGACTCAATATCATAAAAGTAAGTAGCTCTATAAATTAAAATTAGGTTATCACAAAAAACACGATTTTTTTTGTAATTTATAGAAACTTTTAATTAAATATGGCTCGTACAAAGCAGACAGCACGAAAATCAACTGGAGGTAAAGCACCTCGAAAGCAATTGGCAACAAAAGCCGCAAGAAAAACAACAACTGCAACTGGAGGAGTCAAAAAACCACACCGTTATCGTCCAGGTACAGTTGCTCTTCGTGAAATTCGTCGCTATCAAAAGTCCACAGAATTATTAATCCGTAAATTGCCATTTCAACGTCTTGTTCGTGAAATCGCTCAAGATTTCAAGACTGATCTGCGTTTTCAATCATCAGCAGTCATGGCATTACAAGAAGCATCTGAAGCTTATCTTGTCGGATTATTCGAAGATACGAACTTGTGCGCCATCCATGCAAAGCGTGTAACAATCATGCCAAAGGACATCCAACTTGCTAGACGAATCCGAGGAGAACGTGCTTAAGTATTTCATCCAAAAAAATGATATATGACTAAAATCTTCATGCTACTATTCATGTTATCAATGCTCTTTAAAGATTAATAAAACATTTATGTAGATAAATATGCCGTTCTTGATTTACTTGTCATTTTTATTTTCAGCAGAGCTCGAGATTTTCATTGATTTAGTATGACTCGACTTCGAGCTCTGGTTTGAGAAGAAAAGACTCAGTTCAAGTCTATTCGATTTTCATGATAGCATACGTTGTTTTGTTGACGGTAAAAAGTTATTCTTTATTTCAGTAGAAGCAATTTTCATATTTTACAATATTTATATGTAAAAACTAGCCAAAAATAAGGCACATGACATTTTAAGTTAATTCAGTTAAATGCATGTTCTTATATATAAATAAATTTAATCAGTTGAAAGTCCTTCTATGGATATGTTAATAGCAATGTCGAAAAAGATTTTCATCTTCTGAATTGTAAAAAAAGAAAAATAAGGTGAAAACGGAACTACAAGTAGTAGAGAGACTTGTCCAAATTTAAGTTCGGTGTGATGTGCAGAAATTGGCCAACAAGAACTGATAGCTTATGAGCATACTGAACAACTGCAGGAACTCTACAAGGCAAAATAAGATTTTAATGAAATGAAGCAATTAGAAATTTTAAAGAAATTCATACCTTGTTGTGCCAGACCAATTGTAATACAAGTGACACATTTTGTAGGTGAGCATTTGCATGCGTTCTGGTGGCAAACCGAAAGAGTCATCAATGATATTGTAGCTTGTTGGAGAAACCGTTCCTTGACGTACGGATTGACTTATTAAAAAGAAGTCGTATCTTTCGGGTAAAGTGACATCATCATCAACCACAGTTCCAGAGACTGGATTTTCATAACGACGACCTCCAGTTTTGTTAAATATTCGAGTGTTAATTCGCTTTGAAACAACGACAAATGCGAATTTCGGAAATTTATCTCCATAACAGCCTCTGAGAACATCTTTGATCTTTCGTACTTCGATTTCGTGTACATATTGAATTTGTCCATCGCCAACACCTAAACAATGATAGAATTAAATTTTGTGAAAATAAATAATTTGCACAATATTGATTTTTATTAAATTTACCATCACGATAGAATAGAATACGTTCCGGAAATGATCCGTTTTCTTCGCGCCAAGCCATTAATGCTTTTTGCATGTGGACACCGATATTATTAGAACATTCTTCTCCGTTTCGATGTTCTGAGACAGTACTGAAGAAACTGACTTTGAGCTTTAAATCCATTGAAGCCACAAATGCTCCATATGATTTCGACTTATCATTTGTGTCGTGCGAAACATCAAATCCGATTGTCATGAGTCCACTTAATGGGATATTTATCATCCATGGAACACCACCAAGTTTTGCATTAATCTAAAAATTAAAGTATATTTGGTATATGTCTGATTTTTTAATTAATGAATGATTTCAAACCTGAATCAAAATTTTTGTCGCAATTGATTTCACACCAGCCATACTGCCTTTCTTTGGCTGAATTGTTCGTTGGACAATAACTTGAGATGGAATTCCACGATTAACATACGTAATCGTCTTGACAATTTTGTATCTTTCTGCATTATTGTTTGGGAGAATAACCATCACAAATTTCGGATCTCGAGCACAAAATGATTCAAGAGCATCTGCATAAGTACGTGGACGATCGTCGTTAATAACACTGTATTTCGGAGCTCCCATTTCAAAATTTTGTCCACGTGCGACTTCTTCAAATATTTTCATAAACTCGTTAAAGTCACGTTCAGATCTTGATGGATAAATGATGCCCCAACGTTGTAATGCAACATTTGTGTACATAGGATTACGAATTCCTTGTGTCCAATCAGCTTTAAAATCATTTTGATTACTACGTCCTTGTCCAAATAAGATCTGTTCTTGCTTTAAAATACGTCCAGATACACGTAACAGTTGACGATCTAAATTGACTCCAAATGATTCCAGTTTTTGGAAGCATCCTTCAGTTTGGTTCATACGTCGACTGAATTCTTCCAAACGCTCAACACGCTTTGTCGGATCCATACGAGTATATCTAAGAAATTGTTTTGTTAATTTAAAAAAAAAAATCAAATAAAAAGTTAAAAAATGGTTATACTTACTCTCCCAAACGTTTCATAACATTAAAGTCACTACGCATTGAATCCGTCAAACCTGTTGTAAAACACAATTCTGGTATCAACAAAACTGGCTCATTTCGTCCATCTCGAATGTCTCGCGCCTAAATATTGAAATTTTTATGACATTAAAATTATCCAAGTTCAATTTAAAATTGTGACCTACTTTAGGATTAGAAACTAATAAAGGCTGTTTGGGGTCATTAATAATAAGGTTATATCGGGTCTTATAGTACTCGATAAATGATATTTCCTTATCTCCGGCTTTAAATGTGCTCTTTGGATTCAAATCAAATCGAACATCATCAATTCTATAAGTACGATTATTGTATCGTGTCAACACAACAGTTCCAATAATTTCTTTGCTAAATGCTGTTCTTATTTCTGGAACACGATCATGTTCCTTTGATTGGAGAATACTGTAAACAGTATCGAAACGCATGACCTTGTGAGAAATTTCACAGCACACAAGAATATCCCTTTCGTGTTGTCTAATCGATGTTTCATATCCTGGCCATAGTTCCAAACGGTATTCGTTGATCAAAATCTTTATACATCAGAGAAAAATTTGTTAATCAATAGTAAATTTATGCTTAATTTGTTAAAAATTTACCTTTGCTGGCTCATCGTACAAATTTCGCTGAATTAACTTCAAGTTTAAACCCCGCATTGCATTTCGTAAAATGCAGTTCAACACCATCATAGCAGTTGAATCCGTACTCTTAATAGTGACATTTGTAAACTTGAACTTTACATCATATTGATTTTGTTGTTCTGTCGTTATCGGAATCACAATCGAATCTTGTGGCAATCTTCTTGTTAAATATACTAAATTTCCACCATCATAAACATATCCTCGAATCTTGTTAGAACATTTTGCAACAAGATAACGACGTAACTTAATCATATCAATATCAGGAGAAAAATCCACTCGATATTGTGCAAATTCGAAATTTTGCGGTATACCAATACGGAAGTAATTAGCATAAAGTTCGTTCTCATTTTGTCCACCATCAGTCTTCTTGCATGTTATATGTTCTGGACGAGTTGTATAAATTGGCTTATTTGATGCAAGCCACTGTTCTCTTCCATCCTTACGCAACTCGCTCGGGATTGATGATTTCTCAGATTCTGTTTCCTTAATCTTTCGACGACTTCCTGATGTACTCGAACTATCAGTTGAACTTTCACCTCTTCCTCGTCCACGACCAATAGTCAATGGCTCTTCTTGAGGATTACTAAGCTCAGAACTATTATTCTCAAAATCTCCTTTTAGCTTCTTTGGCAATGGCTTACTCATTTTTTGTCTTTGGACGTGAATCGTTAATTAATTAGGCTTAAAAATGTTTTAAGAGCCTCGTAAAATACGATTTTCTGAACATCAAAAATTAATGTTGGTTTTTATTTCTAATTCTACGTTTTGGGCAATTTCACGGATTGATTTTTCCAAAATATTCATCTTTGAATCGAATTTTCTCTTAATTAGAGAATTTTACAGCTGCAATTTTTTTCACAAACTTATGTAAAACGCCGAGCTCTTACATTCTATCTAACTTACGCATCTTGTCACGACTTAATTAATGAAATATTTGCATTTTTGTCAGCGTTGGTATATTACACAATGTTGTATTCTGAATATGAAAACAGAAATTTATTTATTCTAGACAACTATTAATTGTTGTCATTCCGTTCTTTCTATCCTCTTCTTTGATTCTGCATACTTAAATTGACTTGAAAGACACTCAATGTAATATACCAACGCTTAAGCCAAATCCGTGAGAAAATAATTTTCAAAAAACCAATTTTTACTTTAATTAACAATAATTTCTTTGATTAGAACCTCGTTTTTAAAAGTTTAATAGTCAATGAAGATTTTTAACTCGTTTTAAAAAGTGTAAGCTTAGTTAAAGTTTATTTTTGAAGCAATCAAATTTTTAAAGAACATGAATCAAAAATTTATTTTTTTCGAAACTCAACTCATCCGTGAAATTGCCCATTTATGATAAATCCTCGAATATTCTTTTATTACTAATACCTTTCTCAAGCATATATGCTACTTTTTATGCTTATTACTTGCTTATTAAATGTCTTTTCACAAATTTTTCAAATATTTCACAAAAACGTGCTCTCAAATTTTACTACATGAAGTTAGTTGTTTGCATTGGTTTGCATCAGTGTTACGCCACCTCATTCTCGAAAAACTTCGAACTTGCTTCGAAATTAATGTCGAAAACTTCAAAATTAAAGGCGATAATTTGAATTTTAACTGTCGGTTATATAAAATGTAAACAACGGAAAAATTTGAAATCAAAATCAATGATTTTAGCTACTATTAATCATGATTTGTCCTAATCAACATAATCTTTGTAATGTTTTATTACTTTTAAATAGTTTACACCTCAACAATGAGCTTAAAAAAGCAATTTAAAAAGGAAATTATAATTTATGAATTCATTTACTATCACATTTACATGTTTTGTTTACTTTTGATATTTTTGTCGTGAAATTTTTTAAATTACAAATTTTCAGAGTTGCGACGACAGGTACCTGTCACAGGTAAAGGTGACAGATTCTGTCAAAAGATCACCTGCCACAGGCCGTTACCTGTTCACAGATCAATTTTTTTTGCCTGTCACAGGTCTGACCTGTCAAAGGTTCTACCCAGAGCTGCGAAACAGGCACCTGTGACAGGTGAGAACCCCACAATTCCTTGATAATTTATAAGGTTTTTCTAACAAAACCATACAAATTATCAAGGAATTGAAAGGTTCTCACCTGTCACAGGTGACCTGTTTCGCAACTCTGGTTCTACCTGTCACAGGACTCTACCTGTTGATACATAAGCGACTATAAGTCACAGCATAAGCGACTATGGACTCTTACCATAAAAAGTCTTCATCGATCAGCTGTGCTATCGCACAACTTAAGTTTTTGAACTAGAACGCTTACCATATGTTTGAAGGCATGAAGCTTGACAGGTCAGCTTAGCTTCGCTCAGCATAAGTTTAAAAGTATAAAGCTAACAGCACGGATCTAAATTTGAAATCTGTTTTTTGCAGAAGATGTGAAATTTCAGGCACAAACTTTTTATCTTTGGACATGTTAAGCTATCTTGCTCCATCTTCACGCAAAACTCGAAAAACTGATTTTACAATCTGATTGATTAAAGGCTTGAAAAAAAGTAAAAGCAAATATAGTGTTTGTATGGAGGGGTATGGAGATTTCGTGAAAATATTCCATCAAGCACTACGGTCTCAAAAAAAAAGTTCATGCAAAGCGCCATAATTTCCGCCCTACTAGAAGACAAGGGCTAAATTTTGAAATACAAATCATTACTTTTAGATAAAATGGTGGACCTGTAGATTGGGTGACAAAATTTGACCGACATAAATAAACACCTTCCGTGTTCCACACGGAAGCTAATAAGTTTTAACATGCAATTTAAAGCATTTTTGGTTTCGATCATAGTAGGCTTTTTTCAAAAAAATTATCGATTTTATATCTATATTAGCATTCTTTATCATTTATAATACCTAGATATATTTTAAAATGCAATTTAAAGCATTTTTGGTTTTGATCATAGTAGGTTATTTTCAAAAAAAATATATCGATTTTATATCTATATTAGCATTCTTTATCATTTATAATACCTAGATATGTTTTAAAATGCAATTTAAAGCATTTTTGGTTTCGATCATAGTAGGTTATTTTAAAAAAAATATCGATTTTATATCTTTATTAGCATTCTTTATCATTTATAATACCTAGATATGTTTTGAAATGCAATTTAAAGCATTTTTGGTTTCGATCATAGATAGTAGGTTATTTTAAAAAAAATATCGGTTTTATATCTTTATTAGCATTCTTTATCATTCTTAATACCTAGATATGTTTTAAAATGCATTTTTGGTTTTGATCATAGTAGGCTATTTTCAAAAAAAAAATATCGATTTTATATCTATATTAGCATTCTTTATCATTTATAATACCTAGATATGTTTTGAAATGCAATTTAAAGCATTTTTGGTTTCGATCATAGTAGGTTATTTTAAAAAAAATATCGATTTTATATCTTTATTAGCATTCTTTATCATTCTTAATACCTAGATATGTTTTAAAATGCATTTTTGACTTTGATCATAGTAGGCTATTTTCAAAAAAAAATATCGAATTTATATCTATATTAGCATTCTTTATCATTTATAATACCTAGATATGTTTTGAAATGCAATTTAAAGCATTTTTGGTTCCAATCATAGTAGGTTATTTTCAAAAAAAAATTATCGATTTTATATCTTTATTAGCATTCTTTTTCATTTATAATACCTGAATATGTTTTAAAATGCAATTTAAAGCATTTTTCGTTTCGATCATAGTAGGTTATTTTAAAAAAAATATCGATTTTATATCTTTATTAGCATTCTTTATCATTCTTAATACCTAGATATGTTTTAAAATGCATTTTTGGCTTTGATCATAGTAGGCTATTTTCAAAAAAAAATATCGAATTTATATCTATATTAGCATTCTTTATCATTTATAATACCTAGATATGTTTTGAAATGCAATTTAAAGCATTTTTGGTTCCAATCATAGTAGGTTATTTTCAAAAAAAAATTATCGAATTTATATCTATATTAGCATTCTTTATCATTTATAATACCTAGATATATTTTAAAATGCAATTTAAAGCATTTTTGGTTTTGATCATAGTAGGTTATTTTAAAAAAAAAATATCGATTTTTAATCTTAATTAGCTTTCTTTATCATTCATAATACCTAGATATGTTTAAAAATGCATTTTAAAGCATTTTTGGCTTTGATCATAGTAGGCTATTTTCAAAAGAAATATATCGATTTTATATCTATATTAGCATTCTTTTTCATTTATAATACCTAGATATGTTTTGAAATGCAATTTAAAGCATTTTTGGTTCCAATCATAGTAGGTTATTTTCAAAAAAAAATTATCGATTTTATATCTTTATTAGCATTCTTTTTCATTTATAATACCTGAATATGTTTTAAAATGCAATTTAAAGCATTTTTCGTTTCGATCATAGTAGGTTATTTTCAAAAAAAAATTATCGATTTTATATCTATATTAGCATTTTTAATCAATTATAATACCTAGATATATTTTAAAATGCAATTTGGAGCATTTTTGGTTTGGATCATATTAGGCTTTTTTCAAAAAAAAATATCGAATTTATATCTATATTAACATTCTTTGTCAATAATAATGCCTAGTTATGTTTAAAAATGCAATTCAAAGCATTTTTGGTTTCGATCATAGTAAGCTTTTTTCAAAAAAAATATCGATTTTATATCTTTATTAGCATTCTTTTTCATTTATAATACCTGGATATGTTTTAAAATGCAATTTAAAGCATTTTTGGTTTCGATCATAGTAGGTTATTTTAAAAAAAATATCGATTTTATATCTTTATTAGCATTCTTTATCATTCTTAATACCTAGATATGTTTAAAAATGCATTTTGAAGCATTTTTGCTTTGGATCATATTAGGCTATTTTCAAAAAAAAGTATCGATTTTATATCTATATTAGCATTCTTAATCATTTATAATACCCAGAAATGTTTTAAAATGCATTTTAAAGCATTTTTGGCTTTGATCATAGTAGGCTATTTTCAAAAAAAAGTATCGATTTTATATCTATATTAGCATTTTTAATCATTTATAATACCTAGAAATGTTTTAAAATGCATTTTAAAGCATTTTTGGCTTTGATCATAGTAGGCTATTTTCAAAAAAAAGTATCGATTTTATATCTATATTAGCATTTTTAATCATTTATAATACCTAGAAATGTTTTAAAATGCATTTTAAAGCATTTTTGGCTTTGATCATAGTAGGTTATTTTCAAAAAAATACGATTTTATATCTATATTAGCATTCTTTATCATTTATAGTACCTAGATATATTTTAAAATTCAATTCAAAGCATTTTTGGTTTCGGTCATAGGAGGCTATTTTCAAAAAAAAATATCGATTTTATATCTATATTAGCATTCTTAATCATTTATAATACCCAGAAATGTTTTAAAATGCATTTTAAAGCATTTTTGGCTTTGATCATAGTAGGCTATTTTCAAAAAAAAGTATCGATTTTATATCTATATTAGCATTTTTAATCATTTATAATACCCAGAAATGTTTTAAAATGCATTTTAAAGCATTTTTGGCTTTGATCATAGTAGGTTATTTTCAAAAAAATACGATTTTATATCTATATTAGCATTCTTTATCATTTATAGTACCTAGATATATTTTAAAATTCAATTCAAAGCATTTTTGGTTTCGGTCATAGTAGGCTATTTTCAAAAAAAAATATCGATTTTATATCTATATTAGCATTCTTAATCATTTATAATACCCAGAAATGTTTTAAAATGCATTTTAAAGCATTTTTGGCTTTGATCATAGTAGGCTATTTTCAAAAAAAAGTATCGATTTTATATCTATATTAGCATTTTTAATCATTTATAATACCTAGAAATGTTTTAAAATGCATTTTAAAGCATTTTTGGCTTTGATCATAGTAGGCTTTTTTCAAAAAAATATCGATTTTATATCTATATTAGCATTCTTAATCATTTATAATACCCAGAAATGTTTTAAAATGCATTTTAAAGCATTTTTGGCTTTGATCATAGTAGGCTATTTTCAAAAAAAAGTATCGATTTTATATCTATATTAGCATTTTTAATCATTTATAATACCCAGAAATGTTTTAAAATGCATTTTAAAGCATTTTTGGCTTTGATCATAGTAGGTTATTTTCAAAAAAATACGATTTTATATCTATATTAGCATTCTTTATCATTTATAGTACCTAGATATATTTTAAAATTCAATTCAAAGCATTTTTGGTTTCGGTCATAGGAGGCTATTTTCAAAAAAAAATATCGATTTTATATCTATATTAGCATTCTTAATCATTTATAATACCCAGAAATGTTTTAAAATGTATTTTAAAGCATTTTTGGCTTTGATCATAGTAGGCTATTTTCAAAAAAAAGTATCGATTTTATATCTATATTAGCATTTTTAATCATTTATAATACCTAGAAATGTTTTAAAATGCATTTTAAAGCATTTTTGGCTTTGATCATAGTAGGCTATTTTCAAAAAAAAGTATCGATTTTATATCTAT